CTGCCTACCTAGAACTCCCCCTGACGTTTCACTTGGACACAATACTCCTCTTCACTGCCTGTCCTAAACTCTTGTGTGATGCTGCTGTGTGTTGTTAAACTGCTTCCACCTCAGAGGTGGCTGCATTTCAGTGGTGAGAGAATCATTTATTGTACAAAATATACAACGACATCTTCCTAGAGCCACTGCTCCTGAAAGACAAAAATTCATATTAAAGAATGGCTGGGGATAAACAAGAGCACAGTACAAAGCAGGGATAACGTCTACACATACCAGATTAATCACCAGGCACGAGTTTAAGCAGCAGTTCTTCAACACCACCAAGCTGTAAGCGACAAGGAAAAGTTCAATACGTCTACAGTTACTGTGGCTGCGCTAACGGACTTCAACAAATTAACAGTCCTTTGCCGTCCCTCAAGGATCTCAAACGACTTCACAAACAGGCATGACTATGGCCTATTGTTGCCACCATCCTTACCATGAGATGGTGCTCTATCTCCCAAACGCGAGAGTTACTATCCCTGTACTGCTCACCCTGGGACAGCTGCCACATATGAGGCAGCCGGGATGGGGGGAGCTGGCTGGGTCGCAGCGCCTCACCCAGGGGAACCTGAACTCTTTGGATCCGAGCCCTCAGCATACCTTCCTCCTGGGGGAAAGTAACAAAAAGAGCAGGCAGTTACCGGCAATGCAGTAGAGGCACCTGCAACAGCAAAGCTACAATCACTGGGAAGCTCAAAGGACACTTGCCTCTTCCGCAGCCACAAGCCACGTTTTGCGGTGCTCATCGCAGTAAACACCTACTCGTCGCACCCACAGTCGGACAGGAGGAGTGCCAGCATGCCCTCCTGCTGCCATGCCCTCCATCACGTCAGGATGCTCCCGTTAGGTGGATGGCATCATCCCGCAGGATGCACACATGGTCTCTTTAGCTCGGAATACATTCACGGAGAAAGCTCTCAGACCTGAAAGGCACCTCTGGGTGGCGTCTGACTTATGGTGTGAGATGCTATGAGCTGAAATGTCCCTAAGCATCAGCCTGGGAAACTGAGGTGGTGCCTAAGTGAACAGAAATGGCATGACAAGTCGTACTCTGGGACATGCGTGCTGTATGGTGTTTGTAAGGCATTCTGGGGCAAAAGGTGCTATTGGTAGAGAGTTAAACCCTGTGAATATTGGCTTTGCTTATTCCACTAACAGTCATGTTAACAGTCTTTGTGTAAAACAGAGAGGGGGCAAAGGAAAAAAGTGATTTACACAGGAGTTCCGTGGCTTAATGATGGTCTAAATCCAAAAGCAAAACTTGTGACAAGAGGTGGAATTAGTTTAACAAGAACGAAGATCACTCTGGAGACAAAGCATGAAACTCCGTATGCACGACTCTCATATTTGGAACTTGCAGAGCTGTCATTGTGACGGGTCCTTCGTCTCATCTCTCAAGACGATGGCAGCATTGTTCATTCACACACAAGCTTCTTGTGAACAGCTCTTGGGACTTTGCGTAGTTCAGCTTTTAGATGGTTACAGAGAGCCACCAGTACCAGCAGGGGCAAAGGAATTTTGGACATTGAGGTGGTTCTTCCTACCGGAATTTTTGTGTAACAGCAAGTTTATCTGTATACCAGTTAGATCAAGCTGAGCCATTAGCAAATGAAGGTCAGGGGAAATGGTTCTCTCTTTGAACCCTAGAAGAGGTAATCAAAATGGTACAGACAGTCTTCATTCTTTATCTAGGTTTAAAGTAGAACAGAATTAAGCTGTAATACACATAACATCCTCCTGCTACGAAGCAGATGCAGTATTCCTATCCCAGTGAAACACAGTGGTCTTCTGAAAACTTGTAAAGTTACAAGGCACATTTCAGACAGGAGCAAGAAAATCTGGGTACAAAATAAAGTAGGGAAAGTCAGGGAGAGAGAAAGAAAACCATTATACATTGGGCTATCAATATAACAGGAAACATGCTTCCACGCTGCCTTCTACATCTTACACCAGAACTTCTCTACCTTTTTGAATCAAAGGATCACTCGGCCTTTTGGAAATCAAAACACCAACCACAGATCAGGCCGAGCAGCACTGTCACAGTGTTTTAATCTCTAAGAAAGGAAACTTTGGATGTTCTTTTATTATTTCTTTTTCTCCTGTTCTGTTTCCTTGTTTGATGTGTGCGAATATGTATGTGTGTTATAAAAAGCACCACTGCTCTGAAGACCACCCGGTGACAGGGGACAGCCATTCCAAGCAATGGCCCAGCAGCTGGATCCCTAGCATTTAGAGGAATGTGACAGCAAACCGAAAAGCCCTGCAAGGCCCTCAGGAATAACCCATGAGGGTTAAAGGGACATTTCTGTACGTCCTTTTCATTCTGCTTTACCCTGAGCCACTTTATGAATTTAATCTCATGCGTGGAAATGACTTTGCCCAACAGTGAAATGCAGCAATCGCTGCTCATTTTCAGTCAGCTGAATGTAATCACCCAGGTTGGAATTCGGCCAGGATACTCTCCTACTCTGCAGTCAACTGCCAAAAGCTCCATCATGACCAAAAACGCTGAAGAACTTGCTTTCATTCCATTCAAAGCTGGAATTCCTACAGCTCATGGTCCCAGAACCAGAAGACTCACGACTGACTTCAGTACTGGAAAAACATGACTCAGTAAGCAAACACTGTTTCCTACAGTAAATAAACTCTCCTGGAAGGTCTCCTGTCCAAATACTAACCTGGTTCAGTGCTGCTGAACTACAGGTTGGAGGGCTGAAGCACAACATGTACGTTTACGTTTACTGCGTATGAACGTGGAGGATAGATACAGGACGGACAGAACAAGGTGTAACACAGGGACACTGCAGAATGGGCAGTGGTTAACGTGTTTTCACCGTTTGCCCAACTAATCTGTCCCAAACTTCCCCTGAACTCCCAAGCTCTGAGTTCACTTGCCAAAAGTTCAAAGGCTCGCTCCAGCCTTTCTTTTCCACAGTCTCTAAGACTGTTAGGAAGGTGCCATACATAAAATCCTGAGGTCGGGCAGAACCATCAGTTGGGTCTGAAGTGAGACAGGTCTGTCTGCAGCACTCAAACATACAACACAAACAGGAGATTTTAAAGAACATGCTCTCAGACACTTGCACCTGAAACTTTAAGCAGGCAAAGGCAGATAAAGTGCTTATTTTGGCAGATTTTATCATAAAGCAATAAAGAAAGCCAGAAGGACGACCTGGCTGAAAGGAGGAGTAAACTTACTTCTATTTAACACACGTTGTAAAACCTGTTTCTTACACTGCTTGCTTCACAATCTATTTTTAAAAACACTGTATCCAACAAAACCCCAAGCAGATGAATTCTGCAGGATTGCAGCGTCATCCTTTGACACAAAAAAGTGCATTAACATAATTGCAGACGTCTGAGCTGTTTCAGATATTGAATGGGGAAGGTTTAAAGCCAAATCCCCATGGACAGGGAGAAGACTTGCAGGTATGCTGTCCATCTCAGCATCAGGCCTTATAAGTTCAATGCTGTTCTGGGTCCTGGGTGGATTTCCAAGCCATACAACCTATGAATAAGTGTGGAAATGGCCGGGAAGAGGACTGCAGCTTGTGGTGAAGACAATTTATTTACTTTTAAATTGGGTACATTAAAATACTTTACGAAAACAGTGAAATAAATTGCTCAGCCCATGCCCAGGGCTGGAGGTCAGCATGCTGAACACGATGCACCCCTCATTGCCTTCTGTTTTAAAAGGGGACTGGGTCAGATCGCTAGAAGAGTTCAGATGCCATTTAGGCACCAAGGGAAAGAAGCGATGCTGAGCCTCTGTGTATCAGGCACAGTGTTGTGCTAGCACAGCTTCTGGACCAAGGCCGCCCAGTCTGGCCTTCTGGTGGAGTGTGAAGCTGCCTGCACACCTCTGAGGGTGCAGCCTTTAGGGAGCTAAAAGGAAGCTGAGCTTCCCTGATGAACGCAGCCTGCGTCTTGCAACAAGCAAGACGAGGGATTGGATGAGCTGTCTGCTGGTGTAAGAGCACGTTGACTCACTCTAAAGCTTCTTCTTGGGGGTTTGGACTCTACTCTGCCTGGAGCACTCGCCCCGAGCAAGCAGCCCTGTGACTCCGCTCTCCGCTCTGCCCAACCTACTGAGGGGTAGCAGATGCTCACCGACCAGCCAGGGCTGTCCAGCAGCGCGGGGAGGGAAGGTCTGTGGTGGGATCTAAAGAAACAGGGAGACAAAAAGAGATGGACACAGCATGGGGGGAGCCCCAGAGAAGGGAGGGGAGGGAGAGCAGAGGGGTGCGGGAGCTGGGCCTGGTGACGGGCTGGCCGATGGGGAGCGGGGGGGGAAGGCAGGGTGGGGAGCGGTGCGGGACCGGTGCGGCCGTGGCGGGGAGGAGGCGGGGAGGGCCGGAGAGGTCCGGCCGCCGCGGCGGGAAGAGTGCGCAGCACGTCTCCATAGCAACCTCCTCCCACCCGGGCCGGGCCTGTGGGGCTCAGCGGCCGCCCCACGGCATGAGACGGCACCGGGCGGAGCGGGAGCCGCCGGGCCGGGCCCCGCGGGCCGCCCGCCCGTGACCTACCTGCAGCCCCGCGCCAGGTGACAGCCAGCGCCGTGTGCACCGAGCAAAGCCTTCCCCCGCCCTCCCCCTGTGACCCGCAGCCTCCCCGCGGCTGCTCGCAGGCCCCAGTGGCCGCCGCGCAGCAGAGCCCCGCCCCACCCCGAGCCGCGCCGGCCCCCCTCCGCCCCTCCGCCCCGCCGCCCGCCCCGCACCGCCCCGTCTCGATCCGCCCCGCCGCGGGCAGCGGCTGCAGCGCGGAACCTCGCGGCTGCCGCTCGCGTGGGCGACACGGCGCTTCCGGTGCGCGGCACCGCTCGCACCTCCGGAAGCCGGCGGGCGCTTTTACCCCTCTGATTGGCTGGAAGGGTCGGAGAGCCCCATTGCGATTGGTCCCGATGCCGAGTGAGGGCGGGGGGAGTTGGGCTCGGCCCCGGCTACTTCCGGGGTGGTAGAGGAAGACGGGGGGGTGGCTGGTGTTAAGATGGCGGTGCAGGCCGTGTACCTGGAGGCTGACGCCTTCTTGGTGTGCTTGAACCATGCGCTGAGCACCGAGAAGGAGGAGGTCATGGGGCTCTGCATCGGCGAGGTACCGGCGGCGCGATGGGAGCGGCCGCGAGGGGGGGGAGACGGGCGGGACACAGCAGGACCGTGCTGCGGGGCCTCGGCCTCCCGTCTCCTGCCGCTATGAAAACCAAAGTAGAGTCAGGCGGGCTTCCCGTTTGCGTCCCTGGCTGTGCTCTAGTGTGTACCGGTGCTCTGCTGGCGGCCGGGAATCGGGCTTTGCCTTAGGGGTGGTTATTGCCGTCGAAGAGCAATGATCTGTTTTCCCTCCTGTGCCGGCAGGTTGACACCAGCCGCATCGTGCACATCCACTCCGTGATCATCCTGCGCCGCTCGGATAAGAGAAAAGACCGTGTAGAAATATCACCAGAGCAGCTTTCAGCTGCCTCTACTGAAGCGGAGATATCCTTTTGTAGAGACAGCAGCAGACTGGCCACTGACGTGGTTACATCAGGACTCATTTTGCGTGCTGTGACTTGTTCTAGTTGGCTTGAAATTAATTGCTGCTTCCCTCCTGCAGCTGTTCTCTGGAGTCTTCATTGGTTCCAGTGTTTGCAGTGTACTTGTGTTGTAACTGGTTTTTGTAATATCTGTATTTGGGCACAAGTGAAACCAAAGTATGTTTTCGGGAGGGTAGCTGTTCAGTAGGAGACTTAGTAGATAATGAAAGGTTAACAAGTCTCTGTTTCCAAGCATGATGTATTGGAGAGCCTTTTCCCTACGTCCATTCAAGGGCACTGTTTTAGACAGGTTGCTGCTGTGTTACTGCCATGTGCCAACAAAATGCAGTTTGCTTCTGCAGCAGTGGCACCCTGCCAGTGCTGGGGAAGGAGCTTCCATCAGCTTCTTGCTGCGTATCTTGTCACTCCTCCATAAAGGCATGTGGAATTCTGTTGGCTGATGAGAAGCTCTTTTAAAGCTCCCCTCCTTTTCCATGTGCAAAAAGCTTCCATTTGCTCTACTGGTTGCCAAAGCACCTTGACTCACACACAGGTTGGCTGAAATGACGGGACGTCCCATGAGAGTTGTGGGCTGGTATCACTCTCATCCTCACATTACTGTCTGGCCATCACATGTTGGTGAGAGCAGTTTTGTTCTAGGTTCTGTATGAAAACTCACAGCAATAGCTAATAGTATGGCTCAGTTTACTGCTTTTTGTCAGCTCTTCACATCCCAGCTATCAAAGGTTGGTTTCTCAAGCATCCTCCGGTAGGACAAGATTGTCACGGTGGGATTCAGGAGCCTCGGCCACTATAGCCCCATTCCTGAGGCAGGAGCACTCAGTTACAGCTCAGCTATACTGGTACTACTGTTTTTCCAGACGTAGGGTATAGGGAATAGCAAAAAAGGCTGTGGGAATCCCAGTGCTGCTGTGCTGGTTTTTGACATCTGTATTAATACAGAAAAGAACTTTTTAAAAAGAAATGCATGAGTATCTGTTGGACATTATGGCTATAGGGTGATCTGTGGCACCAGGCTGATGCTAATTTCTTGTTCTGTAACTCATCCTGTATTTATAAGATTTGCTATTAATTGTATTTTAAATTTGAACAATTTTATCTTTTAATTTAGTCACCTGGAGTAAAATAAAGCTTGTGACATTTGTAACCAAATTCCAGGTCACCTTTCAAAAGGTGCAGATCTTTTTCCACTCCTTCACGTGAGCAGTGCAGATTTCATTCTCTTATTTCTTTGTCTGCAGATGTGCGCACACAAGCCATGTATCAGATGATGGACCAAGGTTTTGTAGGGCTTATCTTTTCCTGCTTCATTGAGGACAAAAACACAAAGGTAGGCAACTTAAAAATGACAGTAAACCCTCCAGGTGCTCATGAGAAACAGGGCAGAGCTGAAATCCTTGCATGCAGGCTTCAAGAAGGGCAGAGCTTTGCTTGGAGCATAGTCAAAGTGTGGCTCAAATGGTGACGTTTGGATCATAATCCCAATGACAAAAGAGGGAGTTAGTAATTACTCTCTGCTGATCCACAGCCTGGTTTTCCAGCCAGCAAAGCTGGGCTGCCACCAGGTTTCTGGGACTGCATCAGATGGCTGCAGTGTGTGTGTGTGATGAAATGTGTGAGTGCCCTTCAGCTGTTTAGTCCAGCAGATACAGCTTATTGCAGCTCTGTGCCTTTGGCCTCCTTAGGAGATGCTGCTGTAGTGTGAGATAAGCTGACAGCGCTGTGTCTTGTCTCAGTTTTCCAGGGAGCTATTATTTAAGCTTTTCTTCATAGTTAATGGGTCTGTCAGTATCTGCTTGTAAACAGTTCCAGCACAGAAATCAGAGTGAAAAGCATGTCCCTTTGCAACCTGGTACAATGTTATTAGAAAGCACATCCTGCTTCCGGAAGGATTGTGTGGGTTTAGATGATTATTTTTGTTTTACTCTTTTACTTTTGGAATCTGACTTCCTGCCATCTCTCTTAGACAGGCAGGATTCTCTACACCTGTTTCCAGTCCATTCAGGCCCAAAAGAGCTCCGAGTGAGTACAGCAGAAGAATATTATGTCCAGCATCAGGTTGTATTTAATCTTGTCTCAAATGGCTCCTATCATGAGGAGCAAATACCATATAGAGATGCCTGAACGAGATCTCCCTACTTCTGCTAATGCAGGCTGAAGAGAGACCTGATTAATTTAGCTTGGATAATTTAGAAGTATTAAGATTTGTGTAGGACACTGTAGTCTGGGTACGAATTTGTGCTGTAAGCAGCTGTGTAGATCTACCTTTTTACTTTCAACTCTAGAGGTCGCAGCTTCAAGCTTGTGTAGAGTGGTGCAGAGTCCCTGCCAACCTCACATATGCTGTGCATCATATTGGCAATACTGGCTATTTAGTTGCTTTAGCATTTTATCATTACAGTTTCAGACAAATATGTGGCTGTAAAATGCTTCCGTTTGCCTGTCAACTCAGGCATGTGTTCCCAAACATGCAGCAGTGTTATGCATTGCACAAACTGTTGCAGGTTTGTAGAAGAGGAACTTTGAAGTTTATTGTGTCTCATGCCCTTTTAGATATGAAAGGATCGAAATTCCTATTCATGTTGTCCCCCATGAAACCATTGGGAAGGTGTGTCTGGAATCAGCTGTAGAGCTGCCCAAGATCCTTTGCCAAGAAGAACAAGATGCTTACAGAAGAATTCACAGGTAATAAGACTGGGGCTGCACCCCTCTCCAAGACTGTCTTTGCTAACACATGGAACTCTTTCTGTACTTCAAAGCACCATAACCTTAGTAGGGGTGTAGAAAATAAGAAGTCTTAGCAGCTTGTGCCTTTATAGGAGAACTGGTTGAATACCTTTGCATTGAGGAGTTCAAGGTCCCTCAACCTTGCACACCAGAGCTAAGTGTAACTGCTCCTTTGCTGCAACGAAAAGAGATAGAGCATGTGTGAGCTAATGGTGGCCCTTTAGCGATATGTCTGTGTGTGACAGTAGTTAGTGTTTAACCAGCGTAAGTTCTGAGAAGAAGCGTGAAAAATTAGATTTAAAGTATCAGCTTCTTTTCTTCTGCCTCTGGTGCTCAGCACTGATGTTTCTGTGCTACAGGCTCTTTTGTTATCCTTGTGAATGTACAGGGCTTCCACACATGAAGGGGTTTAGATGTATCTGCAGTGTCAGTGACTTGTAGGTAGCTGGTTCTATAATCTGGGTTTGCCTAATAGGCAATCCACTGCTGTCTTGTCACTGACCTCATTCTGTTCATTTCTGTCAGCCTCACCCATCTAGACTCCGTAACCAAGATTCATAATGGCTCAGGTAAGAATTCCTTTTTTGCATGCAATAATCCAGGATGCTGCTCCCAGAGTCCAGGCAGCAGTCTTGAAACAGGGGCTGGTTTGGCTCTTAACTTTGGGGAACAGTAGACCCCAGCTGTGTAACAGCCCCCCCCCCCCCCCTTTGCCATAAAAGGCACTTTTAAAACTATAACACAAACTTTTGTCTTTTTCTTTGCCATACAGTTTATTTCCAGTCACAAACACTGTGAAACCCAGAGAATTCCTCGAGATTGTTGTCTTCTTACATAAAGTCTAGTGAAGGAACAGAATTCTAACAAAACACTTTAGAGGAAAACATCAAGGGCTGTAGAATAACCTAATCCTGGGCTTTATGAATGCTGTTGTGTCCTTCGACCTTTATACAGTTGGTTAAAATTGCAATAGACTTTGGTTTGTTTGGGGAGTTTTGGGTTGGTTTGGGTTTTTTTCTGTTAGAACAGCAAGGGGCTTTTGGATTTGGTGAGTGTTGGAGTAGTGTCTGGCTGATGGGTATGTATGATTGTATCTCCTGGCGTATGCATGTAACATACAGGAAATGCCATCTTTGCTTTTGCCCCCGAGATAAGGTGAATCCTAATTCGCACTTCTGTTCCAAGATAAATACCCCGTTGTCCATTTTCACCTGTTCAATACCTGAGGCATTCTTTGCTTCTGGATTTAGAAAATAATTAGCATCAGTGGTGATACATATTTTTATAGATTTCTGTCTAAAAGTCAGATTGAAATAGCTTGTTTCTCTGTTTAGCAAGCTGCTGATTCTGACCTTCCTGTGGGGATGTCTGGTTGCCTTGGCCAGCATGTTGGAGTGTTTTCTTGGCTCTCTAATGCTCTTGGCTTTGGGGTTGTTGTAGCCTTCTGTGTTTGCACTGGCATGATCTCTTTTTGCTCTTTCCAGTGTTCACAAAGAACCTCTGCAGCCAGATGTCAGCCATCAGTGGGCCACTGCTTCAGTGGCTGGAGGACAGACTAGAGCAGAATAAACAGCGGGTGCAGGATCTGCAGCAGGAGAAGGAGCAGCTCCTGGAGGAACTCGCTGCTTTAGAATGAAAGAGAAAATGCAGCCCCTTCAGAAAAGAGACATGAGAGAAACTCTACAAGACCTACATCTGGCTGAAGGGTGGCCCGACATTGCCTTACAGAGAAGATGCTAGCTATGCCTCTTCTTGCCCCAGGCAGCAAAGAGCACTTCTACAGGATAAGGGTTATCTGCCCCACCTTGATGGAAAGCAGTGGTATCTCTCCAGGTGATGCACGATGCAGTGCAATCACAGCTCAGTAGTGCGGTTGGGCAGCACCTGAAGGTACATCAGTTCTGGAGAGCACACACCTAGGGAACATGCTGTTTCTCCCTCCCCTGTGTTTTGACAGAAGTCTTGTTGCTTTACATGTATTCCAGGAGCCTAGAACAGGAGGGTTAGAGAGGAACAATATGTCCCTGCAGTCATAGCTGATGCTGCCAACTTCTGCCTTCTTTTAGTAGCTTCAGTTGACTGTGATCTAGTAACAGATTACTGGTTATCCACCCAGGCAGGTAGGAGGTGGGAGGGAAGCTTGGGAGGAAACCTGGAAGAACTTTGACAGTAGTATCTGTGTTCAGCATACTTGAAACCAAATAAAGAATTCCAAAGCCAGAGCTTTTTGGAGTAGAAATGAAGTGGATGCTACAAAGAGCCAGTGCCTGCATTTTTCGGACATGGTCTGTATTTTCTTACTTCATGTAATGCTGTTGATGCTCATCACTGAGGTTCTTTATGAAATGGACTGTTCCTGCTGGATCAGTGGGAGGAGTGTGGCTCCTTCCAGAGGGAAAGAAGATACCCGAGAGCTGTGCGAGCTTGTCATTCTTGCACACTAAAAGTAATTGCTGAAGTTTCATTAGATTGAAGCAGAACAAAGTACCTGTTGCTGAACTAAGCCTTCAAGCGTTCTTGCTGTTGCATTTCAGAGTGTCCCCCATCACGTACACAGTCATCTGCCTTCTGTTATGTGAAGTCTGTCTCATGTGAATGAAAGAGCCAACAGCACAGTTAAAACTTTTTTTTCAGGTCCTTGGTTCTAATCTAATCTGTGCTCAAGTAGATGAAAATTAGCTCAGTGGAGGTTGTGACAGTGCTGACAACTCAGGAGCTTGACTGTTGCTTTGGGAGAATGAAACATGGGAGAAAGAGGCATTCCTTTTCCAGGGAATAGCCAGTATTGATTAGCAACTGCAAAATGCTGTCAGACCTGGAACCCCTCAGCCAACTTGGTTTTGTCAGACTTCATGTTTCAGTATTTCTGCATTGATTCTGGAAAACCTTCGAACAGTAGAAGTTCTTCCAGGTAAAATGCTCACTACTTTTAACAAAAAGTGCTGTGAATAGTATTTTTCTTAAGTTTTTAACTGTCCTTATCTCAACCCACAAATTTTCTCATTTTTACCCTTATGGTTCTTGCCCCCATCCTGCTAGGGTGAAGGCATGAGCAACTGGCTGCATGGGACTTAGCTCCTGACTAGAGTTAACCCACAGCGAGTGTGGAAGCCGCTGTAATGCTGCCCATCTCTGCAGTGGGTTATTGGCAGAAATGCTGTGTTTCAGCTGCTGACTGCAAACCAGAATCTCTTGTATCAAGTTTCAGAATTACAATCTGATTTATAATACTGCTTTGACATAAATTTTAAGCAAGGATATAGTGGTGCAACTATGCAACGTTGAATGCCAGTAACTGATACACCAGAGCAGTTGTGCTGCATCTTTCTGATAATGCGTCTTTCTCACATCACCAGTTTTAGTAAAAAATAGAGAAGTCCACAATTTGTGTACTTAAATAGGCAGTAAGCAAGATAAATGTGGCTGAATTCTATTTGGCTTCTATCTTATGTCTTGAATGCATGCTTTTCTTACAGTCTCACTTTAGACCGTCTGACCAGAATGCTCCAGGGTCCATCCAACTTGGCCTTGAACACTGCCAGGGGTGGGGCAGCCACAGCTTCTCTGGGCATCCTGTGCCAGCGCCTCAGTATCCTCACAGGGAAGAATTTTTTCCTAATATCTAAACCTTCCCCTCTGTCAGCTTAAAGCCATTTCCGTTGTCCTGTCCTTACATCCCTTGTCCAAAGCCCCTCTCCAGGTTTCCTGCAGCCCCTTTAGGCACTGGAGCTGCTCTAAGGTCTCCCCTTCAGGAGCCTTCTCTTCTCCAGGCTGACCCAGCTCAGCTCTCTCAGCCTGGCTCCAGAGCAGAGCTCCTCCAGCCCTCGCAGCATTTCCCTGGCCTCTTCTGGACCTGCTCAAGCAGCTCCACCTCCCTCTCGTGCTGAGGCCCCAGAGCTGGATGCTGACTTTAAAAGTCGGGTGTCCCAAGCACCATACATAGCACGCATTTGTTTCCCACTCTTTGACCAAGCTTATCTAAGCCCTTCAGTTATTTTCTTTCGGAGGCGGGGCTATCTGTCTACTCTTGTTTTAAAACGCATATTCTAGCCCCGCGGGTGATTCATGTATTTCCTTCGGCACCCGTCACCGAACACCTTTGTGCCTGCATGAAGCAGGCCCCTGGCTTTACAGGAACCGCTTCAACTTGCAGCTCTTTCCCCAGCCCGCGTTTGGCAGCTCACCGCAGCGTTATGCCGGCAGCGCGGTGCTCGCAGCGGGCCCGCTCGGTCGGTGGGAGCGCGGGAAAGCAGAGGTGCGTGACGTAACCCGTGACGTCCTTCACCCGCGACGTGCTGGGCCCGCCCCGCGCGCGAGGCTGAGGCGGCCGGGATGGGTCCTGTGGCCGTGAGGCCGCTCCTCAGCTGCCGCCTCAGCCCAGCGGGTGCCCCAGGGCCCGGTGCGTCGGGGGTGGGCCCCGCGGGGAGGCACGGAGCGTGTGGGGTGGCGGGTGCGGGCCGGGCCGGGCTGTGGGGAGGGTCAGGGGGCATACGGTGGAGGGGATGGGGCAGCCACAGCTTCTCTGGGCACCCTGTGCCTGCGCCCCACATCCCTCACAGGGAGCAACTTCTGCCTCATGTCTGAGGTAAATCTTCCTCTCTTTCACTTTCAATCCGATCTCCCGTGCCCCGTCACTCTCAGTTACCAACTTTAGATACTGAAGTGGTGTAAAACCGGGAGGAACTATGGATGTCTGTCTCTCTGGCCCAGCGGATCATGGAGTATGTGTAAAGCTTTAAAATAAACCCCAAGTAAACACACAAAACCCCAAGAACAACAGAACATGCAGTTAACCTAAAGCAAACTACTCGGGCCTGAGTAACAATTCCGTAACTTTGTGCAATGAGACGTTATTCCATCACAGTTAATGGTTTGGAAAAGGGCTCTCAAAGTACGGTAACCTAATCGGTCTCAATGCCCTTTCTGCTTTGTTTTGCAGGGTAATCCTGCAGAGGACACTTGAAGAGAAGCAGGTGGATGCAGCAATACAGTAGTTCATTTCAGTCACATCCAAGTATAGGAGACATATCAAAAAGGTAATAGGTTTATAATAGCAGGAAATCAGTGCTATCAGTCTTGTAGGCAGTTAAGCATTGAAAGCGCTGTGGGTTAAGTGTTTCTATGTGAAAGTTTGAGAGGGAGCACTGACCAAAGCACCAGAAGCTGTTTGGAGCTGTGGCAGAACCAAGTTTGCTCAAACTTTTTATTATTATCTTACAAAGATTAATGAAAACAAACCAAAGAACGATGACATTTGTCTGAAAAATGGAGACTAAGTGAGACCCTCTTTAGATAAATTAGGGGGGAAAAAAGCTGGAAATGAGGATGCAGAGGGCAGTAGTTTTCCAGGAAAATGGACACAGAAATATGCAGGTTTTGTCCATTACTCAGGAGTTCAACGCAGATGACTGTACTTGTGTCTGACTGAATTAAACAAGGCTTATCTCACCAATGAGATTATGTATTTGATGATGTTGATGTTAAGTGAAATTACACTTGAAGCTTAAACCACTGGAAATGCAACTTCAGTCTGCTTGATCAGAACAGCAGACTGTCAGAGCTGAGATGCTGCAGACCTCTTGGAGAGAAACTCACATCTACCTACTTGCATGTGATGTCTTTACTGTGATAGAAGCTTGTGTGCATCAGGAACAGAAAAAAAAACAACCTTATAAAGGTGTATTTCCATTCAGAAAATAAGTCTTTAAAGTAACTGGCAATACCAGAGGTCATTTCTCAGGACTGGAGTTACCATGCTGTAGGTTACCTCCTTTGCTGACAGTGTACATCATGTGTGGGCTTTCCTGACAGAACTGGGTTAGGGAGTGCTCCCATAAGCTCCTCAGTCACCAGTTTGTTGAGAGAAGCTACTTCCAGCACACATTAGAAGAAGATAGAATCTCCTAATGGCAAAGCAGGACTCTTTGCAAAACACCTATCCCTACCTTGAATGAGAAAGGGCATCATGGCTCTTGCTGCTTTCAGTTTAACTTTAGAAAGCAAAACAAAACGTGAGGTTCCTCACTAGTACAGAACTGTGAAAAATCCATCTGGGGTTTGCCCTCTTGGGAATCTAGCACCTGACAGAAGGTGTTGGATATGAGTCTCTAAACTGAAACCTGCCTGAGCAAGACTTGTTCCCACCTAAGAGTGGTTTGTTTTGGGTTAGTTTAAATTGGCTGGGAACTAGCTCAAGCTGAAGCACTGTGAATCAGTCACAGACAGACAGAAATGCCCACTCAGAGCTTTCAGTGGTTGAAAGGGGATGTGATTTCCTTGTTATTTTTTCTGGGTCTGTTTGAGTTTCACAACTGGACACCTCCAAGTGCAAATAACGTGTTTCTATGCACGCAAACGATTCAGTTCCAGTGTGACTAGTCAGTGGCAGCAGAGGATGGGTTTGTTCCAGAAGTACCTGGTTTGGGGAATTAAGATGCTGTTTATGACTCTTACACAGATGCAGAAATCTTGCAGCTTAAGTGCAGCGTGATTTGTGTTCCTGAAGTGTGCCTGAGAAGTTTGGCTGGGTTCAAACTTGTCTTGCTGTCTCCTTTTCTATTTTGAAAAGCTCACTAGAAGGGATATTTATTTCCCCATAAAGTTTCTACAAAGATGTAACAGAATTGTGGCAATTGCATCCTGTTAAAGAAAAAGCTGGGGTTTACTTTTAGGGATATGGCTGCTTATCAGCAGCACAAACAAATAACAGGTGTGAAAATACTCTGCAGGAAGAAAGCATGACATGAAACAAACATTTATTAAAAAGGACTGTACAGACAACTTAACCAGGTAGCCACTGCTACCCCTCCTGGGCACAGGAGTGAAATATTTAAAACACAGAAGTCAGTGAAAACAACAGATATTGCTAAAATACCTAAATGCTAAAATGAAAACCTATGTCAGAGGAATGAGAAAGCTGTAAAATAAAGGAAAGCACTTTTATTCATTTAAAGTGCTAGTAATGTCTTCATTTCTTGAATAGTCTGCTACTAGAGGAACACATCAATGGCTATTCTTTCTTTCAAAAGTAGGTTCTGTTAACTTGAAGCCACTGACAGGTTCATTCACTCAGTGTCCTCTTTAGAAAGCTAAAGCTGAATTCAGGCAATGCAAGTATTAAAATCTGGTTTACATTTTCCCTATAGTTAATGGGGTCCTTGGCACTAAAGTTTGAACAACTGATCTACCCCAGCCTGGGTATGAAAATGTCTATAGCAAAGCC